TAAAAGAGATAAACACAACTCAGAATCTTATTTATAGTCTGTGCCAAAACTTTGCAATGTATGAGTATGTCAGAATCAATCAATAGCCCTGATCAATATCATTCTTGTGCAATTCAGTCTCCATTTGAAATCTTTATGTTTCTCTCTCTCAGAATAAATCAAGAGTAAAGTACCTTGTCTACTTTCTTTCTTTTACAGATCGAATCAATCGAATGCCTGGCAGTTCAGACATCACATATATTATCAATACACACTTGTGATGTCAGTTTATTAATAACCCCACATTATAATCCAACTAGGAATAAACTAATAACATGTTATTTTAATTTTTGCTTTATTTAGTCATAATGTTTGAGAAAGGGTTGGAAATAACACAAGGTTTAAGGCTTTGTCCAAATGTATTTGCGGTTTCTCCAAATGTTTTAATTTTGCTGATCATTCAAATATTGTGTGTTGTGAGTAAAGTTGTTCCACAGTGTTACATAATCCATTGAAATACAAATGAACCATACACTATTTGGATAATGATTAATGAACTATAAATGGCACTGGGATTGAAATGTTAACTAGAAAGTAAAATATTGAGATTGGTGTGGATTACAAACTTATTACAAATATATGCCAGCAGTATATTTAAATATATCTACCACAAATGTTAATCAAAATTACAAAATTAACTCTTTCAGTTTTCTTTTTTTTTATCAATAATATATATTTTTCAACTTATCTGGAAACGTTTTCTATTCACTATTAAAGATAATACATGATAAATGATAAGTATTTTAGTTGTTCTACCGTGATCCTTCAGACACTAAAGCTCTGAGTACAGAAGTAAACGACTGTCACGCACCATTGTTTGCTCGCGGGCGCTGAGCGGAGACGTCGCCGGGATCCATCGCTCCTCGTCCGGTGTGACTTTCTCTGGCGCCCGCTGAAACTAGAGCTACTCGGCTCGGCTCTTCTCGGTAATCTCCGGTGGTCACTCTCAGTTTGCCCTCTCGAAGCTCGCCGTATGTGTTCTTCTGGAATATGAGAACTCTCTCATTTCTCTACTGCTAGAAGCAAACAGAAGATGCTGCCTCTTCAGGCGCGAGCAAGCGCGAGACTGACGCGCGCTGCCGAGTTCAGCCAGTGTGCGTGCGTGCGTGCGTGCGTTTGGAACCGGAGGAGGAGTCGCTACACCTCCATCCATCAATCTCAGCATGTCAAAAGTACACTTTGAGGAATGTTGCTAACGATACATTTGTCTCTCACGGTAGCATGTAATGTTCTTTAGAAGAGCTTGACTCTAAAATGTTCAAAAAACAAATAGGTTTTATATATATATATATTTTATATATTTTATATTTAAAAATTATATAATTTA